ATCGGTTTTTCACGGTAAATACCTCCCTCTGTTTTTTCTTCTTCTTTTTTTGTAGAGGGTCGACTTCTGATACCCTAAAAAACGGCCGAGGTTCGTTTGGAGTCTTTGGAGTCTCTGGGTAGGAGTAGTTTGAACCTCCCAGAGGCGGGGAGCCGTCCGCGCTGAGGTGGTAGACACCGGCACCTCCGTGATCGCCGTGCCACCAGGGCAGCTGCTTGGCTCGGAAACCGAGGGATTTTCGCGGGCTACCCTCCCACCAACTCACCTGGAAGTGCAAAAAGGCCAACTCACCAAGAGGAAAGTCGTCTTTCTACAGGGGTCTGTGCACTTCCATGGAATCGCTGGTGGGAGGGTAGAGGGCGGGGCGGGATGAGCTGAAGGACCAACTGGGTGGCTCGTGCGCCATGCGTTCCTTGTGGGTGAGAACGTTTGCGGCCTGGTCCTTTTTATTGAAGGTTGGACACCCCCCCCAAAAATATATATATATATATATATATGTGCGGTTTTCGGTTTTCCTGCTGGTTTGCCCCTGAAAACCCACGAGCATGGGGGGGGGGGGGTAATTGCAAACACGAAAGAGACAGACCAAACCAACTGGGCTCATGAATTTGGTTCGGTTTTGGCGGGATAGCGGATGTGTTTTTTTCTTTTGTTTTTTTGTTTTTCTTCGTTTTTCCCCCTGTTAACACCCATCCAGCAGGAGGGGTTTATCCTTTTGAGAAACCTCGGCATCAACAGGTGTTTTTGGAATGAACCGGAAGGGAATCCCTCAAGGACAAAGGGTATGGTTTACGTAATTCCCTCATTTTCTGCTGAGAATCAGCAAGCTACCAATCTACGGTTGGTTTCCGAGGTTTAGACTTTTGGAGTTTGGGATGACATATCCTTTGCATTTTGCCAAGGGATGTTAGGACTTGTTTTTTGCCACCAAATGGGTTTTCCGTATTAAACCACGAAAAGTTAGTCACTTTTAGCAGGGGAGCAGAAAGCAGCCGAGTATCCCACTACCAGTTTCACTTTTAAGGGACCAACGCAAGGAGGACTCCTCCCATCTCATCCCCCCCCGCTCGCCACGCCCAGCGCTCGCGGAATCGCTCCAGCCGCGGAATCGCTCCATCGAGGTTCGCGAAGGTGAGCCAAAGCATCGGCGCGGTGGCCAGCGATTGCTCCAACGTGAAGACTTTGCCGGTGCTCACCTTCACCTTGGCCGGCAAGGACCGAAGAGCCGAAGCTAAGGCGTCCGCAAACGTAACAAGAAATCACCACCGGTTCATGGGCAACAAATGGGCAACGGGTTTGTAGAGATGCTGCCCAATGGGCATGCACTCTACTTGAAGCTCTACGAAAGGGCAACTATCGTAACAGTATCGTAATAATAAGGGACCAAATGTGTTCTAACAGTTTACTCCTATAAGCATGCCATGTTTTTTGGGTTAACAGACCTGGTATCAATCAGAAATTCTCCGCTGGCCTCATTACGTGCTGTGTCAAAGAAGCAACAATCTTATTTAGAGCAGCTTAAGCCGCCTACGTAATTGTCAGGAGCAGCTCAGCACACGCCGCTGCGTAGAATGGTGACGAAAACATATGACGAATCTACCCCATGTCTCGAAGAAGCGGGGCACTGTGATGCCTTGGAATAAATCAACCACCCTGTAACAAAGGAGTTCACTGCTGCCTTCATTCAGTGCTGGCGAGGGTCGATGCAAGTTGCGCTGGCATTAAGTTCTTGATTGCAGACCCATTTCCTGCATACTGTGGATGGACGAAATGCTGCACCACTTGGAAACCATGGGGAACCATTGTTTGTTGGTATTTACAGGAGAATCGAATCATTCCTTTGGGTTTCTTGGGTGGTGCGTTGCATGGATTTCGCAACCATCCACAGTATTACGAGAAAGGCGATGTGTAATATCGGTTCATCAGCCGATGGGACCTAAAGGACCTGCTTCTTGGGTTCCTTCGTTCACGTGCTGGGAGTGTTCATCTTCACGGTTCTTGCCGCGCTTCTTCCGGAAAGCTGCCCTGTTATTCAAGCTTGAGCCACGCGAGACACAGAGCACGGTTCCCAGTTCGTTGGTTCAGGGATCCTGAGATCATCACCCCTACCACAGTAACTCACCTAAAATTGGCCAACCTTGTGGTTCCTTGCCAGTTTATCGTTGAGGGTTTTCTTTTTCAAAGCGGGTCTACTCAATACCCCGTAAACAAATACCAGGAAAAGCGTTCCACACCCTTTCGTGGCTTGTACTGCGCCCTGCCAGCCTTCATCTATCCAGGTTTTGATGGTTGCCACCAGGGAATGAGGGAATGACCCCCATAAACAATCGCGTTTGGGACATTCCCTACTGAGCACCAGCTTATTTTGGCTCAGCCAGACAGACCGAGGAGAAGGCAAATACCAATAGAGGGGGGAAGTGGATGGTCAATTACCCTCCCACCAATCAACACATGGAACCTGATGTTCGCGGGTCCCTTTAAAAGGGAAGTTCCGCAGGGTAGCGGTAGCAGAATGAAAGTCTTTCCGAGTCTTTGCGTTGCTGTTAAGTCCGTTTATGTTGCATACGCTTTGGACAGGCATGTTTGGCGCTCGTGGGCGTGCAACTGACCCTTTCGTGACAGCCGAAGATGTGTCTGGCGATCCTTGTGCGGCAATAAAACGATTCCACCTGACCAATCATTTCCTTTGCTCCCCAACCTAATTGCATGGAGCCCCAACAATTGCGCTGTTTTCAGATCGGACCTCTTTTGGCGGAGATTTCCATGATTTGCGCCCAGGGGTCCCCTGTGTTGTCACTCCCAGAGAGCTTTCCAGTTTTCACATTCGACAGTGCGCTTGAAACTCTCGCTTTGGGGATCTCGCATGTACTCAGAGCAACCCAACCCTCGACCCGCGGTTCGAACAGGTGCGACATCACACACAGACACACGTACACGTACACACACACACACACACACATGGGCTAGATTGGAAAAACACGACCTTCCCCCCAAGCACACCTGCGAAAGATTCACCATTACTCAACCGACCTGTATGTTTTGTTTTTTGAGGGACCCCGCCCCCCCCCGAAAAGTGTGTTTCTTTTTGGTGATCCTTTAGAACCATGCGATACCCTCAAAAAGAGACAAACCCATATTTGCGGGTGTGCTTTGTTCAAGGGTATGCTTGAGATGTACGAGACACCCAAAGGGTTGAGATTCTGATTCAGGTCTGAAGTGGCTTTGAGTTTCCACTTCTGATTTATAGTCGTTGTAAGGTCTACCTGGAGTCTCCATGACCCTTTACAAACAGGTCCATGACTGACCAACCATTATTTAGGGAGATGACCCCATTTTAAGGGTCATGGAGACTCTAGGGACATTTGTTTTTGGTTCGGCTGGCGAGCTTTTAAGTTTGGCGACTTCTTCGACTGTTTGTGGTCACTCAACTGGGCAGGTCGGATCGTGTTCCTGCTGTTAACTTCCAGGCAGGTAGACAAAGTAGAGTAGAAAACCAGCCTTCACATCGCTTTCTGTGTTATATGAAGCAAATCAACCACACATGTGTTTAACCATTTTTCATGTGTTTTTCCTTCCGGTTATATTCAGTAAGTCAAGCGTTAGCACTTTTTACCCTGTCTTTGATTGCTCTTTAAAACATCAGCCCAAAGTCGCTGAAATTCCGAGCTGCGCTTTCAGGACTTCAGCCTGGAGCCGGACTTCTACGTCCTCCGCGGCGCGGACAGCAATGGGGCGGAAGAGTGCCAGCTGGGCATCCAAGGCGCGGGGCAGGTGAGATCCCCACCCCCTATGGAAGTGCGGGGGGGGGGAGGTGACCCCTAGAATTCCATGTATGATGTAATTTGTCCCTTTTATGCGCGCGGAAGGTGGCCTTCTGGTTCTTTTCTTGGTGCTCTTTAGTGGGGAATCATCGTCCCTGGGTTTAGCGGGGAATCAGACCACTTTTGGACGATGAATAAAGCTGGGGTTGATTCATATGGGGTCAACGTTACTTGGGTGTTCGGCCTCGGCCAAGTTAGCAAGTTGTCAGTAACCTGGGTTCTAACCCACTTGTAAGCCTCCTTGACTGGGGATAGCCCAGTCAGTAGTTGGCTGACCAGTTGCTAACTTGGCGAATCGAACATCCAAGTAGGGAATGTGGTTGAATGAACCCAGGCTTTGGTCCCCGAATAAGCGAAACCAGTTGGATGGTTGAGGGTTCCAATTCTCACTCCCTATCGCACCAACCAGTTTTGTTCGTCCTTGTTACTTCGGGGGGTTTGACCATCAGCTTTGCACCAATTGGTTTGGAGCCGTGTGTTTTGGACGTTGTTTGTTACCCTCCCCAGTTGGTTTCAAAAGGCAGGGTGCAAAGCCCAAAGCACCAATCCAAGCCACCAATCGGGTCACCCTTTGGTGGTTTGGAGCCTGGTGGTTTGCATTTGGATTTGAACCCCTGTTGCAGAGCGTGAATGGGAACCTCCTTACCCGCCAAACCATCAATTAGAGGTTAGCTGAGGTAGCCCTTAGGTAGCTTCGGGAGTTGGATTTTTGTTGTTTTGGGTTTGGTTGGTGTTGGTATGTGTTGGGTGTCTTTCAGCGTAAGTCAAGGGAGCTATCACCGAACCCCCTTTAGATTCAGGGCATTGGCTTTTCCAGGGCGGGCTCCCCCCACTTTAGCCCCCCTTGGAGATCCATGAATAAGGCTTGCTCGTAACAGCAATCGCCCGCTCTCCGTGCCATCTCTGCAATCCGCATCCGCACAGTCGCAAGGTGTACCATACGTTCATTTTATTTTCTCTTTCCCAACTTCGGATCAGTACCCTTTCCAGAGATTCTATGTGGGTGTTCTTCAACCTGGACCACACAAAGCGGGTCGACGCTTTGTGGTCTCCCTTCCACCTCAGACTCGACCTAGCCCAAAAAACCGGGGGCATGGTTTGAAGCCAGGAGCAATTGTCTGCCCGGGTAGCTGAAGGTTAGGTAGAAGGTTAGTAAGGGTCCCTCCCAACCATAGTTAGCTGCGGCCGCCTTTGTTCTGGGTAGACCAGTTGAAGACCGGGTTTCGACTATGACTGTAAGGAGAGGCAAAATCGGGGCGTCTCTACTTTCCCTGACCTCTCGGGCCAAGGACTCAGGTCCGGAGAGTCTCCGAACTCGAGGTTTCTATTTTCCCAGTTGCCACGTGGCTTTCGCCCTTTCTTCAACTTTGGAAGGGTTCCGATTCCAACTCAAACTCAAGCAACCAAAAAATGGGATGCCGTTTTGACATGTTTTCCCCATGGCTACTGGGGCGTCTGAGTGATTTTCACGAGAACCTGGCAGTCGCCCCAAAAAGGCCAAGGATTTCAATCGCTCGCGCAGGTGTGTCTGTGGGAGTGCCTGGCTTGTGCCTTGGGCTGTCGACTTGGCTTCCAATTGGAGGGTTCCGGTTCCAGGAAGGGGTAGGGATACTTGGGCGTAGTCTGTTGGCCATGGGTCAAAATCCCCACTACCCCCAGTGAACATCCCAGTCCCGCCCAGTGAACATCCCAGTCCAACCACTAAAATAGGTTCTAAAATGGGTGGTGACTTCACCTACGCCCAAAATGGTACCATTGGTTTTGACCCACAGCAGCATTGGTTTGGAGGTCGGCTTCCGAAGGGCTCTCAATAAGCACCAATCCAAACCACCCCAGAGAGGTAAAGATGATTTTTGTTTGTTGAAAAGATGTTTTCCTGTTTTTGTGGTCCCTTGAAGGTGATTTTGTTGACTATGTGTTTGCCAGTTTCTGTGGTCCCTTGAAGGTGAGTTCAAAGATGCAAGCACGAATCAACCACTGGTTTTAAAGCGGAGGACATGTCCGGAAGAGCTGCAAGTTTTCACCACACTCTGTTTCTCTTTTCAGGGACACGTAGTCTCTGTTTCAGGGACACGTAGGGTATATATGCCAAACATAAGCATGAGCTGCTTGCATCACATGAGAATCATGCGCGTAGCATCTTTAGACCTAGCTGCGAGAAGCGACTTGGGCACAACAATCAACCGCAGAAATGTGTGTTGCTGGGAAAGCTTAGCCTTTTGCGACATGCACATGGATGTGTGTGTGTTTTTGTCAGGGAGCCCAAAAATGGTGGAATTTCCTCCGGGTTTCCCTTTAACACCACCAAAAAGGGGCGCCCTCAAACAAGCCACACGCATATATGTGCATCCAGCAAAAACACAAGAACCACTTGGTGCTTGGTTCCATGCCGGTTCCTCCAGCCAGAAAATGAAAATAGCCCTTCTAGCGGAGTGTAGCTGACTTCTGGTAGATGTTCGGAAGACGTTTTCCCGTTGCCTGGCCATGTTTCTATTGGTTCAGGTGTTTGGTTGTCCTCCAAAAGCCTTGCCTTTCCTGCTAACATAGCACCTGTGGGCTGGAAGATCATTTTCCTGAGTCCCCTTTCTCAAGCGCCAAACTGGGAGGGAGGGCACACCTAGAGGTTTTGGAAGGCAGAGTCCTTGGGTAGGGAGAATTGCGTTCAGAGCAAGATGTAAGAAGGGCTGCTTATTTCTCCAGTTGTCAGATGTTTGCCCGTCGACTGTAGGGAGATGTCTTCACTGTGTAAAAGCTGCTTAGGGACTCACTTTGGTTTCATGTTGGCAAACCCCCAGTACAACCAGAGATTGTAGGATATGGTTTGTAACAGCTGACTGCGACTTAGAGTGGATATGACAGCGACCTCAATGATACTGGCAGCAATACGCGTGTGTTGGTCGGATGCCCGCGTGACAATCCACACTTTTATGAGTCGACATGTCATTGTTGGTGTTCTTGCTCGCTGACATGAGATGAGGCCCGCTCGACTTTTACGTGGCAGACATTGCCAAGATCTTGTTTGATGAATCAAGCATTGGTATGCGACCCACATGTGTTTGGTTCCCACGCATGAAACATAGTGTCAGGATGATTGGGCGATGCAGCATCTTATCTTCGAGCAACTTCATGTTGACCCCATATTGCTCAACCCCAGTTATTAATAGGGGGTGTCCCAATTAGTGGGGCATCATCACTGTTAGAAGGGCGTTTCCCCTATTAATAAACTGGGGTTGATTAAGAGGGGTCTACATTAGTTTCAGCTGAAACCAGGATTCCGGGCCCCTTCTTCAGGATGCGGACCCGCCTTCGCAGCATGGAAAAGAGTCTCTCTAGCTGAGCACAACGTTTGAAACAGCGCATGGCAAGGAAGCTACGCGCAGTCGTGTTTCTACCAAACACTTGTTTCAGCAGTGAAATAGTGTCCAATCTTCTGAAAACAAGAATCATTGAACCAAACAACCATGTTAGCTTGCAGGTGAGTCAGTTTGCAGCTGCAAGGTGGATCCTGGGTGACCCGTTTCTGCGCAAATACTACAGCATCTTCGACCGTGATCAGAATCGGGTGGGCTTTGCCACAGCAAAGCAGGCAGAGATGGTTGTACAGGTGTGAGCTCTCTGGAAGCACTGCAGGGCTTGCTCCCTTTGCGCTAGACGAATACGTGAGAAGATGCTTCTGGCT